AGCTCGTTGGCTGTTGTGTTGACAATGATTTAAAAGCAAACTCTACGTTTGTGACCAAGTGCCATATTACATCCAAATTTAGAGTGTAACATGAATCAAGGTCACAACCTACCCCTTACCAGATTTGTGGGGTGCACATTCTGCACAGCCATATCATTCATTCACAGATCAATTTACAGGATCTGTCCTGTCCAGTCACAAGTCCCATCTGCCACCTTGTACAGCTCAGTGTACATTTTCGGCATACCTTGGTGCCAGAATGAATGGACTCACGTGCACATGCGTGGTAGTTACTAGACATGTGCAATTCCTTTCGTTCCAAATTAAAATTTGTAAGAATTTCTGTACATTCAGACATTCGGATGCATCTGCATTTCTGAATGACAGAAATAAAAAATCTGAATGTATCCGAATGTTTGATAATGAAATTCGGATACATCTGAATTTCATTCAGAATGAAACACGGAAGCGGGAGAGCTGTCATTTACCCTCTCTGGCTTTTTTGCTTTTTGTTAAAATTCTTCTATCCCGAATGAAAACAAAGTAACACAATACTGCTACAAAATGTAAAAAAATAAAGAAACTGAGAGATCTGTGTTATTCTGTAACAGCTTCTTCTTCTTTGCTGACAAAGAATCTGATAGCTGTCACAGAATACATTTAAGTGTTAAAGGAGAACTATGAGGTGGGTGATTTTCACTCACCTTCATAGTCCTAGCCGACCTGTGACAATGAGACTGTCACAGGTCGGCTCAGTAGATCGGGAAGTGAGCGAACACATACCGTCACTCACTCACTTCTCGATCCTGTGCTGGCAGAGAGCCGTGACAAGGGAGGCACTGGATTCCCCCCTCCCCTGTCCGATCCTACAGCGCTGACTGATGGAACGGACGGGGGAGGGGGCGGGTACAGCTGGCTCTGCCTCTAGATAGGCAGAGCCAGCTGTCACTCACGCAGCTGGGCGGATCCAGACATAACTGTCAGGTTCCGTTCCGGCTGCGGCGTCTCAGTATACCGCGAGTTGTAGCTCGCGGTATACTGAGCTTTGGGTGATGGGAGGGCGCTAGTTTGTGTCCTCCCGTTACACTTAGGAGAACTATGGGGAAAAGCCCTAACCCCATAGTTCTCCTTTAAACAGTCCACAGAAATAATAATAAAAAAATAGCATGCGGTTCCCCCTACAATTCCTACCAGACCCTTTAGGTCTGGTCGGAATTTAAGGGGAACCCCAACATAAAAAAATGGAGAAAAAAAAGTGGGGTCCTTCCTAAAATCCCATACCAGACCCTTAATCCAGGCAGCATACACAGTGTATAGGATGTGAGGACTCGAGGACCCTTAGACAGCTGCAGAAGAGGTGGAGCAAGCCTGGAAGGATTGGTCGAAGAGCTGCTGGCTCTGAGGTTCGGGTGAGTATAATTTTGTTATTTTAGTCCCTAGACGAAAATGATGAAAATGAGCAATTATCCCTTGCAGTGCAGGGGTAGCCCCATTGCAAGGGTTAATAGCAGTTCTTCTTTATAGGCATGTTCACACCAGATTCATTCAGGAGTGTTTTTTAAACACATTATGACAGCATACTTAAGCTGGCCATACACCGTTCTATTTTTTTCTCTCAACCTGCAGGCTGAACGAAAAAAAAAATAGAACCGATTCCTCCATCAATGCTTATGAAGGTTGATCAAGAAATGCCCGCTGTTTCTTTTATACACTGACAGCGGCTGTGGGCTGTGTTCCTATGTTCGGCTCCTTCGATCAGATGATTGAGGGATGCCAGTCGGAAGGGTGCCAACAGCGGAACCCCCTATGCGAATTTCGGCCAGTTCATCAGGAATCAGATCAAATTTGTATAGTTTATGGCCAGCTTTTGCAAAAGCAATGGTTTTTAATCACCCGATTTCACACCACTGTGTTCAGTTCCAGTGCTTCAAAAAAAGGAAAGCAGCATGCATTTTTTTAATCAATGGAATGTACATAAATGCATCTAAATGCAACACAAATGAAAAAAAGAAAAAAAAACCTTCTCTACATGAGCTCCTCTGGGTTTTTGTAAGGGAACAAAGTGCCAAAAAACGCACTTGAATGCATTACAAAGTGATGGAAATGCACTTGCAGAATCGTACACTGAACGCAGGCATTGTGGTGTGAACAAGCACTTAGCCGTTGTCATACATTTCTCATTGACCTGTAGTGCCCCCTCTGGTGGTGAGATCCGCCATTGACAGAAGTACTATAGATTGGATGATGACAATACATTTATTTCCCAAGTGGTTGCTGCCCTCTAGTGATGGAGAGGTAGTACTGATGTTGTGAAACGCTCAGCCATTTCCTAGCACAGCCCTGTTGCCGGAACTGTTTGCTGTGACAGCCAGGAGGGGCACTAGCATGGCACTTTTTTGTTTTATGGAAAAACAAACATCCCCAGAATCCCTTTAGATGTGCTAGTCAGCCCTGCTGGCTCTCAAAATACCTGAACAATGCCTGCATCCAATCAGATTGTTCAGGTATTGCCGACTAGCAAGATACTGAAGATTGGCCCAGTGGGAGATTCCTCCAGCCACACAGTTGAGCATAGATGGAGGAATCTGTTGCACTTTTCCCATCTGCAGGGATCACATCTGATCATAGAAAATCTGCAGATAATCTATAGATGTAAGGCCAGTTTAAGAAGGCAAAACATAAGCAGATTAAACGTGCCGTAGTACTAAAGCCTCTTATTTTTAACAGCAGCACATTGGGTTGATTCATTTTGCGCAGTAATTGATTTCCTCACCTATAGTTTATTTTTTAAATATTATGCAATCGCATCTTCCCCCTGCCTATGGGTCGCTTACCCAACTTCCTGTTGAAGAGCGTGCACCTATACTGTCAGTTCTATTTATTACTACTCAATAGGGGGAATTTATCAAAACTGAAGCAGACTAAATCTGGAGCAGTTGCCCTGGGCAACCAATCAACTTCTCTCTTCAGTTTAAGTTAAGATTTGAAAATGAAAGGTGGATGCTGATTGGTTGCCATGCACAGCTGCTCCAGATTTTGTCTGCTCCAGTTTTGATAACTTCCCCCCATTGTGACTACATGTCTCATTGTGCAGAACGCCAACACGCATGCATTCTTCGTCTTTAAAATGTGGTGGAGCTACCTGCACCCATGCATTATGTAGTCCTCTCAGGAGCACACATGTAAGGGTGACTACTACAGGGCTCCATAGGATCCTGAAAGGGAAAAGGAGTCACCCTACAAACAGGAAGTGGGCCAGCACTCAGGGGACCAGCATGATCAGGAGGAAATGAAACACCGTATAAAATAATGTGTGTGCCATATATTTCATGTAAGTCCCAGAAAAAGTTTTTAAAAATACAAAACAAAAAAAATTCAAACCAATCCTGCCGCCCCCCGCCATCTGCATGCAAATTAAAATGTACACGCAGGGCATGTAAACGATTGCGTCACACCAGTGGCGGAACTACCACCGGTGCAGGCAAGGCGGGCGCACCAGGGCCTCGGCCTGTGGGGGGCCCAGCACAGTCCCAGCGCAGATCGGTACTCAGCGGCCAGCGGGCCCCCCATCTCTGCGCCGAGAGTGTCGGATCATCCGTTCATCCAACACTCCCGGCGCAGAGATGGGGGGCCCGCCAGCCGCCGGATACTGATCTTAACATCTGAACATCCAAAATGGGGCGGGGGGCGCCCCGCGACGCACTGAAATGGGGGGGCCGCTGGGCGCTGTGAGGAGGGAGCCGCGGAACAAGGAGGCACTGAAGATAGCCCTGCAGGCACATCATGGGGCCTCGGACGTCAGTGACAGCCTAGGAAAGAGAAAACACATAGGAAACAGGTGAAGGCAGAAGACCGGCCAGAAGAGGTAAGGGTAAATAATTTATTAAAATAATAATTATTTGTAGCCTAATGTTGTATAAAGTACTGTTGCAGCAATGTACAATGGCACCCTCTATAGAGAACTACAAATCTCAGCAGTACTTTATACAGAAATACTATTGTTATATAAAGTATTGCTGGGATGTGTAGTCCTCTATAGCCTGTGCCATTCTGCATTGCTGTAAATATTAGGGACACACCGATATATCAGCCGCCAAAATATATCAGCCAGAAATGGCACTATTGGCTAAATGCCGAAAGTGCCATTTTTCTGCTGATAAAGCGGCGCATTCGTGCTCTCTTTCCTCCCCGCTGGGCGCTGCTTTGTGTCCCAGAGAGAAAGTGACAGCCGGCCGAGCGCTGCGGGAGGAGAGCGCTGTGTTTGTGTTTTTTTGGGGGGGGGGGGGGGGGGCACCAGGGCCCTTTGTTCCTTAGGTCCGCCACTGCAACACACATGTTAGGTATTGCGGCGAAAGTCAGGGAGGAATAATCCTCGGCACATAATTTGCTGTTATCTCTAAACTGACGTGCAGTAAAGGCTTTTATAGTGGACAATTTGGAGTACCATCCATTTTTGCCATTGCACAGGCGCACACAATTGTAACGCTTGACATGTTTGGTATTTATTTACCCGACGTGACCCAATTTTTAATATTTTACCCAAAAATTGTATTATATTCTGTTTCTGTGCACTAAAATTCATGTTTAGTGGTTTTTATCCTAAAAATACTGGTTTGATAAACATTTGCGCAGGTTTCCTGGAAAGTAGCATTTTCCTTTCTTCTACAGGGCCTCTGCTTTCATAAAATATATCATTGTTTGGGGGGGATACAGTGGCGGAACTACCGCCGGTGCAGGCGGTGCGGACGCACCAGGGCCTCCGGCCTCTAGGGGGCCCAGATATTAAGCTGTTTTCTAGCCAAAAATTCTGATTTTATCATGTGTGTGTAACAATTGAGAAATTGCTCCGGACAGCAAGTGGTTACAAAAAATGTAGCCTTTAATATGACATGAAGCGTAATGGCTTGCTCTCTATGTCTCAGCACCTATGGCAGGGAGGAGAGCTCCCCTCTGAAGGGATGCGGGGATGCCTCTTCCTCCCGTATCCCCAGGCCCCGCCCCTCAGCTCGTGACTGTGATGCTATGAGGAAGAGCGGGGTCCGCTGCTCGTAGAGGACATGGTACGGTGTACACACAGCTCTCAGTGCTCTATAGTTCCGTGCTGTATCCAGGATGTTTGAGAACCTGAGGGAGCGGCTGCTCACTGTACAGCAGGACCTGACCAGCGGGTAAAGCCATGTTCTTTAGTCAGCACTTTGCTGCCTGCATGTCCTCACTTACTCTGTGCTCGGCAATGAGCCTTCTTTTATTGACGTTATAAATCCGGCATGGAGCGATCTGCATCTGCTTACTCGGCTCCTTTTATTAGCTTGTCAGTGCTTGTGCTGAGTGACCAGTTTAAGAATGTCAGTGCATGTGCTGAGGGACCTCTCTTTAGAATGTCAGTGCTTGCGCTGAGGGACCTGTTTTAGAATGTCAGTGCTTGCGCAGTGGGACCTCTTTTTAGAACGTCAGTGCTTGCGCTGAGGGACCTGGTTTAGAATGGTCAGTGCTTGCGCTGAGGGACCTGGTTTAGAATGGTCAGTGCTTGCGCTGAGGGACCTGGTTTAGAATGGTCAGTGCTTGCGCCGAGGGACCTGGTTTAGAATGGTCAGTGCTTGCGCCGAGGGACCTGGTTTAGAATGGTCAGTGCTTGCGCCGAGGCACCTGGTTTAGAATGGTCAGTGCTTGCGCCGAGGGACCTCTTTTTAGAACGTCAGTGCTTGCGCCGAGAGACCTTCTTTTTAGAACGTCAGTGCTTGCGCCGAGAGACCTTCTTTTTAGAACGTCCGTGCTTGCGCCGAGGGACCTTCTTTTTAGAACGTCCGTGCTTGCGCTGAGGGACCTCTTTTTAGAACTTCTTTTTTTCCTTAATATTTTTTACTTTTTAATCACCTTTTTTTTTTTTTTCATTTTAATTATTTCTTATTTTTTACTTATCAACATTTTTTTTCCACTTTATTGCTATCACACATGATCTAACAAGCACCTGTGTGATAGCGTTTAAAGGTGACAGGTTCTATTTATTGAACCTCTCATCTCCAATACAGGAGTTCTAGCACAGCACTGTGCTGCGAGTTCAGCTCTCCCTTCTCACTGTTTACATGGAGCAGAGCGGAGAACAGACATTCTCTGTTCTGCTCCACGCTCTCCATCCTAAAGATCTCCAAAGAGAGGCGGCCAGCGAGGAGAGAGGTAGGCGTGGGGGGGGGGGGGGTTAGGATGGACCTACTGTTGTTTTTACAAGGTGATCTTCATGACTTCGCTGAGATCACTTGTAAACAAACGAGCGGCTTCCCCGCTTTACATTTAGCCCTGCTTGCCCGAAACTGCATGTCCCGTGCGACAGGGGATTCCACACCCCTGCCGCCCCTCTGCTCCCTGCTGCCCCCAGGATGGGCCTCGGTGGCCTTGTGGGAAATCCGGCCATGACTGGACTGCACCGTGCTGCTGTGAGGGGACCGGAATGGAGTATACACTCAAATATGTTTAGAAAAAGGGGTAAGGCTGTACATCGCACTACACAACCACGGATCCTGTCACACACACTAGCCCGTCTGCTGTTGATCGTTCTAGAGGACAGGCTAGTGTGAATGGCTTCGTAAAGCTAAACATTTTTGGCTTAACTTCTCTTTTGGGTCACCCCAACTTGCTACACCACAAAGCAACATGGCAATGTGTACGGTTCTGTGCAGCTATTTTGTCACATTGCCACATTTGAGTCTGGTGAGGCCGATGAGATCACCCACGGCTCGAAATGTCACCAATTCAACAGGAACTGGACAAAATTTTAATTGTTTATGGCCAGTTACCCAGGGTCCCAGACTTGCTATTATGCCATTTTTACTAGCAGTGCTCAGTGGTCACCTGTATGATAAAAGATTATTATATCATAAGAACCTGATGATCAGTATTTGTCTGTGCCTGCTCCAGAGCCTGGGATTATAACTGCCAGAAGGCCAACAGGGAGAACTATTTATGTGACTGCAGATAGAACAGCAATAATTGTATGATTGCATCCGCTGTCCCCAAAGTTTCTATACCCAACTATCTGGCTGACCTGTGAAGTTTGTATACCCAACAATCTGGCTGAGGAAGAGGAAGTAACAAATCAGGAATTTAACTAGTAGTATAATTATCAGTGAATGCATCGGTGCATTGAGAACAAAGTCCTCATTTAATTTAAACTCATGTCATCTGCAAGTAATAAATATGCTGTTCCTGCAGCCTGGTAAATACCAAAACTATAGTATTCCTAACGTTTTTATAGATGTACCTGTGAATGTGCATATTTTAAAAACTTTGTTGCTGTCAATACTTTCTAATGATCAAATATTCATATATGGGGGCAATCATATTTGTTCTTCACTTGTAGAGGGTGCTGGTTGTCTTATGTTACTACATATCTAACAGACTAAGGTCTGTCTAATTGAAAACAATAGACTGCCTGTTGTGTCTAGGGACCTGAAACACCTGCAATCGTTTTGGTAGCTGGACATCCTGGGGTCTCATTATAAAAAATGATATAACTTATTTGTCCAGTGAAACTACAGGTCTGTGCTAGTTAACCGGCTGTTTTAAGAATGGGGCAAAAACAAATGTTCTTAGTGTAATTTTGTGTTTTGGTTGAATGGTCTTCAGAACAGAGTGAATGGGGAAATACCGCATTATGGCTCTAGATGGAGCCGAGGATCATAGGAAATAAATACATGTTAGAAACGAGACAATTCAAAAGAACACCAGAGAGAATGAGCATATAAATGTAACCAATGCTATCCCTGTAGTATCAGTGGTTACATTTAATATGCACATTCTCTCCAGGGTTAAGTGCTCATCTTGGCTAGGGAGCTAAAATAACAGAGATATACTCAATGGCTGGCTCCTTGACCGGTCCCTGGAGCCTCCCTGCCTCTAAGCTCTGGCGGTCTAAGGTCCTGTGAGTCCTCATATCCTATACGATGTATTGGACGTGAGGACGCTGAGGGACATTCCATCACTGGAGTGAAGGAGAAAGGCCGAAGGGACTGAAGTTTGGGTGAGTATTTTAGCTCCCTAAGCAAAATGAGCAATTTGCCCTTATAGTGCGGGGGTAGCACTGCAAGGGTTAAGATTTAATTTGCCTGGAGTTCTTCTTTAAATGATAACATTGCATCTCCTTACTAACCTGTATTTATTTCCTATGATCCTCCACTCCAGCTAAAGCCATAATGCGGTATTTTTCTTGTTCACACTGTTCTGTATGAATACACCCATTGAAGAACATTCGACTAGAAGAGAAATTACACTTCGAACATTGGGTTTTGGCTGGTTATCTGCAGTTTTGCTGGAGGAATAAGCTATGCAGATGTTTCATAAATAACCCCCATGTGGTTGTAACTTAAACTAGGGGAGTGTGTGAGCTGCAGTTTTTTGTATTCATGGCAAAAAGAGGCACTTCTTACTCAATACAAAAATTGGGATTTGTAATGCTGACATGGTTCCTACTGATTTGTGCAAATTGTGAATGTCTATGATTTATCCCTTTTTTTTTTATTGGGTTTGAATGACAGATTGAAGATCTTGGGTGACAAGTCTAAAGATGTGAAGATTAAAAAGCAGAGCAGGTAAAAAAAAGTATATTTTTCCTAGCTTTGTAAAGTGTCAGTTTGTTTAAAGAATGATGCAACATGCTAAAACATGTTTGTCTGAGCTTGCTAAACCTATTTCCTGGTTATACATCCCTCATATTGTTTTTTTCTTATTTCACACATAGGCAAGCTGAACAAGTATCAAAGTTTCCAGCGGGCGTGGAACTCCTCAGCAGGTAATTTCCTACCTCAATGCACACTAGATATTTTGCTAATAAAATAGTTCAGTGGTTCTTCTGTTCACATTGAGGTAAGATGTGTGACCAGGATAAGCAGCGGAACCTACTGCCCAAGTCACAGACAATCTGGGGCCATCTGATGTAATGCAGTAATGGAGAATAAACAACAAGGGGGACAAGATTAAAGCATAACTCCACCATCTTCCTTCCTTGTGAAAAATACAGCCTGGTCTTGTAAAATCAATCAACTTTGCAAACTGTATTCCTAACCCGACTCTTTTTTGCTTGTCATAGCGGCTGCAGATTTCCTGTGGAACATAAGAATCACCATTTCCTTAAAATTCTTTCCCAGCTGATGTATGTTACGTGGCATTTCTATTCTAGGATTAGAAAATCTTAATAATGGTTTGGATAGTTACTGCTTCTGTCCAGAGCAAGATTAGGTGGGCCATACATTCCATGCCAGAGATAATTACTTGTGGGAGAGCAGTGTGCTGAAATCATTTCAGTCACAATCACTTAGTTGTGTGCGGCTAGCTTAACAGCGGTGGCCCACTTATTATTAATAGATGCAATTTTTGCATGTACAAGTCTGTTCCCAACGTGACAACATTTATGAATTTACGTTTGCTGTTCTGTAAATTGATATAATAAGCATGAACAAATTATTTGGAGAACGTAATTATTTTTTTAACACCTCGTTTCTTTCCCTACGGCTCTTATTTTACATTGTGTAACATTTTCTATAGTCTTTGCAAGCTGTCTATACACAGCAATTTTTAGCTATTTTATCTGCAAATGGCCCAGCGTATACAAGCTGTCTATCAGCATCACTATATATAAGCCTTTGCTGAATAAAGCGCATTTTCCATTTGGCAAGTGCACCAACCAATCTGCAAGCATTTTCCAGGACTTTGGCTGCTCTAAAATATGCTACAAAGTAGAACACTGTGGTTATGGATTACAATACACAATTTCTCTTTGCACAGTCTTGTTTACAGAGCACCTGAATCGTTTCTCTTACACCACCCTCCCCTCTGTTAATTAAGGATAATGTGCATAGAGATCAAACATACCTTTCTCTCAAAATCCTTTAAGGCTCTCTTCAAACAGCGTTACTGCATAAGCATTTGCTTGAGTTGCGTTATGGTGTTGCTATAGCCCAGCTATACCGGGTGCCCCTAGCTCACATTCTACTCTTAGTTCTGGGACTGCGTGAAACAGGCCTTGGTGCAAACTCCTCATCCTGGAATCATGTTTTCCTGTAATCTTAGCATCTGTTCCATTTTTGGAGTTCTTTGACCCTGTCATATGTGGCTGGGCCCTTGCACCTCTTGGCTAAGGGTTTTTTACCACAGACATACAAAATGTATTACTCGGATTACACATTTATTTGCTCACTCTCATAGCCACAAGCACACTTTCACACCCTCCTCCAAATTCTGTATCTGATTTTCCCTTGGCATTAGCTGTAGAAGAAACTCAGATCTGGACTAATGAGCTTGCCTCTGAGGTGTTGCAGTCCACTGCTAATACTTCCAAATGAAATTAGACCGCTTCAATTCTTATTAAAGCACTGTGTACCACTCTGAAACTAGAGGATCACCTTTTTGCTCCTGCCAGTGCTGTTTCTAGCCTTAGGTCATTTAAAACGCCTCAGGCTGAAAAAAAACTTTCCTTTTGCTTTCATTTTCCCAACTGTTTCTCTATACAGATTGGAAACCGCATGATAAGCTGTTTGCTCCCCCTAAATGCAGAATAGACCTGTATTTGTTTCATGAGGAGTTTTGTAGAAGTGGTCTATTTATACTGTGGATCCAGCTGCAGGGGGGTGGAAATGTTTTTTTAAAAACTACTTGTCCAAAGACTAAATCAGGGGCCCAATCTACTTGTCCCTCATGACAATCTACTTGTACTGATACAAAAAATAATTTTAACCCAAACCGTATTTAGTAGTGCCAAGAAGAGCTTTTTATTGGTCAGTGTCGTCAGTGCTTGCAATTTGCGAGCGAAATTCAGAATACATGGCACAGGTACAGATAGTACACCCATACTGGCGGATGGGAAGGACTGTTTGCTGAAAGGTAAGTTTAGCGGGAGGGGCAGGGGACCAGATTTGTGCGGGTAATTCTATTTTCCCAAATTACTTGGGAAAGTGAATTTACCCTTTAAGGCTGGTGTAGACTAGGGCAATTGTGTGCGGTTGCATACAGCGGTTGCCACGCGGCCCCATTGATTTCAATGGGGTTACATCTGTGTGGCAATCGCTGAAAAAAGGTACATGTACCTTTTTTCGCGACACGCACCATACAGTGTTTTCAACCGCGATTATGTGTGATTGCACGGGCGGTATTGTGGCGGGAAGCCGCACAATCTGCCTGGCGCGACTGGGGTGCCGTTAGAAAACAATGGGACTGCCAGCGCGATCAGCAGTAGTATGCGATTCTGTGACCACCCGGCCATCCGTGTGTTTTTTGTGCATGATTCTGTCACGGATCACCCAATCCGCGCACACACACACACACAATGCCCTATGCATGTGTTTATTCGCATGCAGATGGTGGGTGCAGCGGGGTTGGTTTTACATTTTTTTTATTATTATTTATTTTATTACTTTACTATTTTTTACTTTGTAAAAAAAATTATTTTTAATTTTCATTTAATTTTTTTTTTTATTTATCACCTTTTTGATTTTTATGTGTTTACATTTTTAATTGTTTTATTATTTTTTGACTTTTTTTTCTCACTTGATTTTATTGCTATTACACAGGGGCTAACAAGCCTCTGTGTGATAGCTTTTGGAGGTGACAGGTTCTCTTTATTGATCCAGTCACCTCCAACACAGGAGTTCTAGCACAGCACTGTACTGGTTCTCCTGTGACAGGAAGGCTGTGAGCATTCCTGTGTCATTGCTCACCTCTGTGCTTGCCAACAAGGGTTTCATGTCATGTTTTGCTTGAGGATCAAATACTTATTTTACTCACTGAATAATACACCACCCCCCATCCACATAAAAAAAATACCCCTGCACATATAAAAATAATATACCCCCCATACACATAAAAAAATACTACCCCTGCACATATAAAAATAATACACCCCCCCCCACCCCTACACACAAACAAAATAACACCTCG